TTTAAGAATGTAGAATAAAATGTTACACTATGATTATTTTTTTATTATTATTAGCTAACCTTATTGATTTTGACCAATGGACAAAAAGGTATTTTGGACACAAATATACGCCCTTTTTTGATAACGTTTACGAAGGAAAGAGATACTTTAAGATTAATAGGTGACCTCTTTAATGCATAATTAGAAATTCAAATAAGGTTATTCTTAGTTTATGTGTTCTTGATTATTATTCATGACGTCATCTTATAAGGAGAGTAACGCCTTTTGAGGTTATTTAATACTATGTCTAATTTACTTATATTCATTCTATTAGTTTTTCACTTGATAAAAGTTAATGTATTACTGGTTATAATCCATTGGTTAGTAGACAAAGGTAAAAGCTTGGAGTAAGCCAATATCGTGTGAATTTTCAATGCAAATTCTATTTTAGACGATAGAAAAAGTAACAAAAACACAGTATGTTTTACAATGAAAGATAGATATATAAACGTCGCGTCGGTTCAGTGCGAAGTACTTTGACTGACAAGAAGTATGAATACAGTCAAAGAGGTTGTATACTGGCCATCAAGACTAGTGTTTCATTATTAAAAAGAGATAGTTAGTAAAAAAAAGGATGCGTATTACAGGTAAGATGTAATACGAAGGAAGTAACAACGTAATTGTGAGCTCTTGTAATAAAAAAACTAGTTTTCATTTATTCAACGTCACCGAAGTATTTTCTTTCAAACATAGGATTATAATATCATATGTGATACAACAATTACAATACATTTATGTAAACCTCTCACGATTCTGCAAAGGAAATGCGTTGGAAAGCCAGCGCGGTAAATATCAGATGTTTATAGCCGTGTCAGCTTCGCGCAGCGCACATTGAATTATTTATTCTAAGTTTGTTTGCAACAATTTTATACCTAGATCTAGAATTGACCAATAATGTTATATGTTACCTAGATTAGAGTTACGAATTTGAATATCTTAATTTATTATCTCAAGATTACACTTACTTCAACAACTAGTGTACCGATTCTCGCCAGAATGGCGCGCTATTCCAATACGTCTAAATGACATTGACAGCTGTCAGATAGGGACGGGAAGTATATGCTGCTAATAATCTAGTGTTGCGCCAATCTTACAGCGCAATACTAATTGTCTTCCTAACAATAGAAAGTAACCATAAATAGTATGATTTTTTTTAATATTAACAATAACATCGAGTGTATGGTTAGTACGTTATATTTAAGTAATCGTAGATAATTATCAATTGAATGCTGCACTTTCATACGCATTCCATTTGCAAAATATGACGTCACTCGCGAATTTTACAACGGACTTGCTTATTTACGCTTCGCGTTTGCCTTTCAGCGAATGTCAGTCGAAAATCGTTGAACATCAAAGAGACGTTTATGTATCGCGTTTCGAAATAAAACACGCATCACTACCGACGCCGACGCCGACGTCGACCGCGGTGCAGATCGCATCGTACATCCGCCGACTGCGCCCACAAGCCACAGAGTAAATAGAACAGTAGGTCAACGTCGGATGAAAAGCATAACACTACCAAAATCATACATTTAATAGCAATGAAATACGTTTATCTGATAGTAGAGTAAATTTTGAATTCAAGATTAGTATTGTCGGTATTTAAAATCATCTAATTCTGCACACAAAAGAGAAAATAACTTAGATATTTTGATACAAAACGGCAAAGTAGTGCTATAACCATTATGCATTATTATTTAGGTTACTAAAATTGTACTAATTTAAATACAAGTAGTGAGTTATTTTAACTAGAACAAAATTACAGTGATTACCGATAATTAACAAATACTACGCAGAAAACCGGTTAATTGATGCAAAACAGTATAAAATAAAGTGCAAATCTGATAAGAAAACCTGCATAGACGAGTTCGAGTATCGCTAATGATTGCAAAATACACGCTAGAAAAAGGTGCGACGATTACAATGAAATCTACTCAATAAACTATGTCTTGTGTGTTGAGTTAACTATTTTAGAAGAAACTGGATTAAAAACATTAAAAGATATCAATGTGTTCAAATGTCGATACGTTAAGTTTTGTTGTTTCTTTATATTCATTCTGTGAGTGCAAAATACAACTTCTTTGGCTGACAAGCAGTATATATACAGCCAAAGAGGTTGCATACTGGCCACCAAGGCAATAATCGTTTATAAAAGAATATATAAAAAAAAGAAGTCAAGATGTGATCGACATAGTTTGGAGTTTTTAAGTTTTTTGTATATTTTTTTTTTGTGTAAATAAGTTTTAAATAAAGACATGTTTGTTTTATAATAAGTGTTTTGTATTTTTGGCTGTCGCGCTGTCGGTAACAAGTTAAACACATTCAATGCCTAGATTACTTAATAATTTATTTGTATTAATAACATTTCTCGAATCTTCTAAACGTTCGAGGTTCAAACCATTCCTTTGTTATAAAATTGACGGGAGAAGATTAAACACTGTCACATATGTCACGCTATAAAAGGCATTGCTCATTATAAGATCTTGCAAGATAATATAATCCGTAATTTAAAATCTAAATCTATAAAAATAAAGACAACAAACACCTACATTTAATTAATTAACTTATAATCTGAATACAGAATTATTTTGACGTACATTTCAAAACACTGCAATTTTCATATAAAATTAATTGTAAGTTATAGAATTTTGTCTACACACGAAGCAAACGTACAAATGAAAGCAAGGAAAATAAACGTCGCCCGGATGGTCAAGGGCTAGACTTGCCTCCATAGGCCCTTGGTAAGTACCTGTTTTTTGGAATCGAGGGCCATGGTAAGTACCAGGGTTGTAACAGAGACCATTTTAACGGATGCGTATGCGGATGCGGAGGCGAAGGGCTTCACCTCTGCAGAAGCGGAGGTTAACGCAACCGGAGGTCAATATCAATTGCGATTTATTAAAGAAATAAAAACTAAAACTACGTTAATTCAAAATACAGATTGGACAACAACAAGAGACACTTTATTATGCAAATACATGGAATAACAATCATAGTTAGTTGACATACATATCACGCCCGCGCGAGCCACATAAACAATACGTACTCGCCCCACTCCCGTTAAAAACGTAAATTAACCTCCGTTATAAATCCGCATAATCAATAACGGAAGCGGATGCGGATGCGGACTTATCATTTATTGCAGAAGTTCCGCACTTGCGGATGCGGAAGCGGAGTTTCGTTACAACTCTAGTAAGTACCTTTCTACAGACTGCTCATAGTCGTTGTAAGTTTTACAGCAAATAAACAATAACAGAAATGCTGTGACAGATAATTTATGTTCGTACGAATCTAAGATTAATTAAGATCTAGTAATTCTGCTAAAGCTTGACAAACCGGGTCTCCTATAATGGCGTGTGTAGGAGTCCATTTTGATCGACGCCACTGGTCGTTAATTTTTTATAGACTAGCTTAAGAAGCCCCCATCAATTTGTTAAATGGTCATAATTAATCTTGCTATGAATCATTCAATATTTGTTAGTAATGTTAAAATAAATTAAGTTAGAGAAACTTACAATTTATAGTACCGAAAATGAAATATTGGAAGTTGCTTCAGAAAGACAGCTTCATAGACTATGATTATTTCGGTCCTTTCTACAAGATCATTGACACAAAAAAATGCTTACAATTTTAATATTGGTTTCATCTGAACAGTATTTAATACAATAATTGTAATAAGCGTGTGTTAGGTTATGTTACATTACATGTTACTCACTGATAACGTAGCTATTTATTAGTGAAATAAGTTTTTGAGTTATTTCAAATACATATAAAAATACAAGTATTTCCTTTTTTTAATAATACTCTTTTAGCATACACTAACTCCTACCAAAATGAATGATCGCTACCTTCAATTTATAATTGTCGTCGATTGACACATAAAATTTCACAATTACGTCATCTTTTTTATCCGACATTTCGAAGAAAGTCTGAATCCTTACGATGAGGAACTCGTTGACCTACTCTAGTTTCGACGATTATAGGAAGCATGAGTTCACGGATTAAACTCCATTTGTATAAAGCCAAGCACTTAAGTAATACAATCCGTTCAAAACTTCAAGAAAATATTGGTTACTTATCAAATAATATAAATTATTGCTGTAATGAAAACTTTGTACGTGTTTGATTATTCTTTAAAAAATTTCTCCTTACTGTTATTTTGCTTTTAAAAAAAAACTTATAAAAGCAATATAAAAAGTAAATATTTGACTTCACTTTCGGTAATATATTTCACAACATGTTAATTTAAATGCAGCTAAAATTAATTACTTCAGTTTTAATTACCATTTAAGTGGCGTTCAACAATGCTAAGTATTCTCTGTAGTAAAGCAATAAACGGATTAATAATATAACGTAACTAATTGCCGTATCAATCAAGTGCTTGGAGTTAAAATGCTCCAAATATGGCTGCCTTTTTACTCGCAGTCCCCACCCCACATCTGAATAACCTTACTGCATTCAGTTTATTACAGATGTACAATTATTTGTCCATTATAAAATTCTTCGTTACTTTGTTTTATCTTGCTTACGAATCCTTTCGCATTTACTTTGATTTTTTACAGATTGCAAAATGTGTAGAAAGGAAAATCGTGAATAGACCTAGAGAAAATTTTTACCTTGCGTAATATTTCGGTCGCGTCAACACATGCACCAACTAAAAAACTAAAAAAAGTGTAATAATTAGACATTTTAATACATATTGTAAAATAAGATTATTAGTCCTCAAATATTATTAGATGTTCTTTAAAATTTATTTAAAAGAGCACATGCTATTAATTTATGTACAAATATTTCTTAATTATAAATTTTATTTTATGTGCAAATACTGGCCGAATATGATTGTTCACACGGCAATCAAATAAAAGAAACAAACAGTGCAGACAGAGTTCAATGACCCCGCACGAAGAGGCATCCTTTCGGTACCCTTGATTGTTGCATTAAAAACAAAATGCTTGTTTCAGGTATAGTGTTATTTTGACGATCGCAACAACAGCTTCCGACGGATTCACCTTGATAAACGGTCAGTAAAGTTTTTGTATAACAACCACTTTATGTTTTATAACAAAGTAATTATATTTCATTGCAATTTAATGGCTTCAGTTTTGTATCAATTATTTAAAGGAACACTTTTATGACTTCGGACAATTATATTAATATTAAAATTTACTCAATAATGATCCTAAATAATAGAAATTGTATTGATTATTATTTAATAATTGATTAATAGTTCTGGCTCCCGTTTGCTGTTGAGGTCGAAAGATATATGCCAGTTTAGCAAGACCTCTCGAAGGCCTCATATCAACTAAGAAGGATACATTAACGCCAGCAACTCGTTCCATTTCTTTTTGTGTTAATAGCAAAAAAATATGTTTGTATTCGTTGGTTGCATAGCAACAGTAGCAATTGTTTATTTTGTTAAAAGGTAGACTTGCATGTTTATAAAAAGTGTATAATTAGGACCATGTAAGAGATGATCTGTTACTTTTCCCGTATTATAAATACGTTGCCTGCGTTCAGGCTTCTTAAAGCTATTAGGTAAAGAAGGATTAACTTACGAGCGTCTGTTTTAATAGGATTCTGTTTATACCCTATGGACAGTGCATTGCGCTTTTCACGAGTAATATATAGGGTGTATCAAATCAGGGAATTATGCAAATATGACATTGTATGTTGTGATATGTTGAAACCGAAATTAAATCTAAATTGGACTCACAACACAACTAAAGTTGTTTAAACATTTATCAATAACTAAGTTTAGCCACTCTAGTCTCATATCTTTCTTTCCTATCTTAGGATACTTAGGTAATTGATTTAATTTTTGTTGAACTTCATAAGATATATTTTAATTTTTACTACGATGTCGCCTTATAATTATGTCTTCTTTATTATGTGGATGTATATTCAAAAATGTTTATAATTTATTCAATTCACAACCTTGAGACTTTATTTACATCTATGAGGTTTTACCATTTAAGGAGAGAGTTTTAAGACAGGCCTGATTATATTAATTAGGAAACCTGTTTCTGATTTAAATCGACTGAGAAGTTATTGTGAGTATTTTAAAAGCACTGAGAACATTTAACTTTATTAATAAATTATTACAAATCTTAGAAAATACGTATCTTTATACGTCTAAAGTTATTTAAAAAGTTTAGTAACTTTAACTTTCGTTTTCATAACTTGTAACAGAAAATAATTGTCTATTATAAAGATTATTAATTATTTGATAGGCTATATTTATTAATAATTATTGTGCAGTGTTAAAATTTAGCTTTAACCACTAATTGCTCGCGACTTCGTCTGCGAGAAGTTGAAATAAAAAAAAATTAGCCTATGTTACTGATAACGTAACTTTTTAATGGCGAAAGAATAGTTTTTAGTTATTCCAATACATACAAAAATAATCATTCCTATTTATAAGAACAGTATAGATAAAATCAATAATTTCACGTACCTATTTGTTGAACATAGATCAATATGTAACTAATAAAAAAACAAATAAAGCGCGATATTTTAGTACGAGTAATAAATTCAATAACACGCAGATGGAGTACAGATTTCGTTAATTCAATAATAATCCAATAACTTATGTTGACTACCACTTATTAGTCTAGACATAGTGCATTAAAGATTTTACGAAGATTTTAAAATATTACATTAAACGCAACATTTTATCTTGACTATTAATTTGTTTAAGTGTTATTTAGTGTTTTGTTTTTGTTTGTAATTACCGATTACCCTATCAAATTTAAGTGCAAAGGAGCCAGCTGAAAACCAGCGCAGGAACGGTTTAGTCCCTCCTGAATACGCTGAGCTGGCTACCTTTTGCCACGATTTGTTTTCTTTGGAATTATCCCGTATATGCAATTTCTTTTTGTGGCAATAAATATATATTCATTCAATCAATGAATACAAGATTCGCCGTACTTGAACTTTCATTGTATCAGGAAATGTCACTTCACAACTGCTATCATATTGTCGTTTATGTGTATGGATAGCAAAGATATCGCTTATTAAATAAAGGTTACGTTCAAATATTTTCCTGGAAAGTTGGAAAAACAAAGGAAAGGAAAATTGAAAAAAATTGAAACAAAGAAAAGTTGAAAAAAACCTGGAAAGAAAAAAAAACATACAGACGAATTGAGCACCTCCTTCTTTTGGGAAGTCGCTCAAAAACAGGTTGTTACAATTTTTACTAACATATCAGTTGTGTGAAATTTCCTTTATAAATCTGTTTAGTTTAAGCGATGATGTGTGTTCAATATTAAAAATAACACAATATTTGAACGTTTCGCAGCCGGGTTTTATACTCTATAATACATCTAGGGTTGCCGCTCTTGTATAATCCATGTTTTTCTCTAAAAATATATAAAAAGCGTGATTGCAAAGAGAAGATAAATATACTGATGGTCACATCAGAAGACTCAAGGTAACTTTGTAATATCTTATAATTTACATATTACATTGGACGTCTGTATTTTATCAAAGGAAAACTTGCAAAATTGATTACAAAAGTTTTATGCTGCATTAGCAAAGTACGCCCATGGTTAATTAAATATTCATATTTGAACATTGTTTGAATGTGGCAACCCTAGAGTAGAGCGTTATTAGCGAGGACGCGCAAGGGCGCCGAATGTCAGCGGGTCGATTCACTCGTACTTTACTTGCCTAATTGCAAACTAATCATATCAAAATAACTTTGCAAACTCGCAGTTTACTCATTCCTTTGTTTTATGGAGAAACTAGCTTTCGCCCGCGGTTCCATCCACATGGAATTAAAAAAAACCAAAGCCTATGGGTTCTTGCAGACTATATTCTACATCTTTACCAAATGCCATCAAAATCCTTTCAGCAGTTTGGGCTACAAACTCTATCAAATATTCATCGATCCATCCAAACCTACGCATTTATAATATTTAGTACTTATGATATTAAAAATTAACGAAACTGTCAACTGTTTTGATTGCTGTGAAAAATGTATTAATTTTTTATTCGTATTGTTATCTTCCCTTCAAAAAAGACACAAGAATGTGTCACTCTAAAACTATTTTATTCCCTATAGTATACGTTTTTACAAAAATTCTCAGCAAAATTAAATGTAGTTACTATTAAAATAATGATGTCTCAAGATTAACAAGAATTCTTGTCTGCGAATTTTAACACGTCTATGATTTATTAAACCACTAAAAAGAAACTTACTCGCTAAAACGAAAACATAATTAGCGCTATTATAATAATTAAGTACTCAATCTTGATTACAATCTGACTGGACTACGCGACGCGAGATACTACTCGTAGTTAATATTGCTAATGGCAAAAAGTTCTAGGAGATTCGTCTTAATTATTAAATCACGCCTGTTAACTATGTAAAAATTAAAAGCTAGAGTTACAGGAAAACTTATTCATAACTAGCTGTTCCCATGCGACTTCATTCGCATAAATTCATTAATAGCAAATGTAAAAATGACATAACAAAACTTGGCAATTTTTCTTCCTTGATGTTGACAGCAACTTATGGTCTCTTTCCCACATTAGGGTTTTATCCAAAATATTTACCCCCTAAGTTTAATGGCGTGAAAATATATAGCCTAAAGCGTGACGTAAGTGTAGGGCTTTTTATTAAAAAAATAATTATTCAAAAATATGGTGTAATTGCTGACATATTAGGCAACAAAAAAGTGTGTGTTTACGCTTTATTATAATAGTATAGATAGTATAACTAAGCACAGGTTTTATCCTTTCGAATAGATTTCCGGACGACAATTTTATCTCAATAGGGTACTACTTGAATACATTAAAATGCATATGTCTACATATACCAAGCTACGTGATCTCGTAATATTACGATAATTTGATCAGTCAAATATAAAGAACTCCATGAAATAATTAATTCAGGAGAATAGAATTTTAAAATGTCCCACAAAGTAAGGTCGGAAAAAGAAAACACATGAACATCAGAGTATATTTGGGTCCTCAATCGAAACCTCGGTAAAAGATAAGATATCTATATCTTGTCATCGGGTATGTGTGCTCGTTCGTTACTCTTAAAAAAATAAACAACTCAATATGAAGGTAATAAAATATTTTAATGTAATCGAGACGATCCTCTAAAATCGTAACTTGATAACGCTTCAAACCACTAAAAAAAAAAACAAAAATGCATAAGATTTAAAAAATAATAATAAAATGTAGTCCGAATGTCAAACCGAATGTCGACATGTCATTGTCAAATGCAGGCGCGTCAATTTGCGCTTCAGACGGGGCCATTTTCACGCGTGCGTTTGGGTGGGGTGTAGGGGGGTATCCGTGGCGAAGGCGTCAAGGTCACTAGTGACGTCATCCCTCGAACAATGACCTCCCGAAAATGAGGCGGCCCGCACCGCACCGATTGTGCCGGCTCTCTGTATCACGCGCCGACTTATGTTGACACTGAACTCGATCGAGTTTTCAATACCCGGCCTGGAACTAATTTACGGGCTCAACGGAATCAATTATTACGCATAATAGAAATTTATTTGAAGCTTCAGTGTTTATTTTGTTTTCCTAATTGAGTTCCTAAGCTATTTTGTCCAAAATTATGTTTACATAATACATTTAAAAAATTTTATGTGACATCAACCATGAACAGAAAAAAATTACGAAAAGGAAATTAATCAGGCATTAACAACAATGGAAACGAATTTAAATTGACACGTTTTTAATTCTTGTAACAGATTTTATGCGAAATTGTTTGTTGATCGAAAAACATTTTTTCTTTTAATCGAACGTTAAATATATACACAGTCAAAGATTAACTTTGACTGTGTATGTTTAAAATGTATCTCAGTAATATCTTAATCAAAGTTCAAATTAACGTAATGAGCCTTTACTTTTGGTGCACATTTTCAGTGATAAACGCCCGGCCGTGGTAACGAATGGCGGTGCTCCCGAACCGCCGCGTTACTTTAGTATAATGAACATTTTGTCATCGCGAATGTTCTCTTACGATACTAACATTTGCCAAATACAATCCAATGGCGA